CAATTAAAATAATAGAACCACACCAAAAAGTTTATCAAAATACAAATATGTAAGGTCAATATCATTAGCTTTATAAGTAAAGTCCTTGTCTTAAACCTTTGCAATTTTTTATGAATCTCATATAACAAAAAGATGCTCAGAGAAAAGAGTTGAGGCAGGCCTTTCATCTTTCTATTTCAATTTGAAGTTACACTACCTGTATAACAGAAGTGGAAAATTACAAAAAAACAAAAAAGTTGCGATTCCAATCTTTCTCTGCAGGGATATGATTATCATGTACATGTTAGGCCTCCAGGGAGGGGGGAGGGATAACCTTATCCAAACAACAAATTTTTAATGTTAATCAAGAAATAATGACCATCACAGACCACATACAGTGTAATCACCTGAACACATCTTACTGGATTCAAATTGCCACAGAAGAATGAGGAAAGTGAGAAACCTACCGAGTTAGTACTGCTATCATCTTTCAAAATCTCTGTGAGCATCTTTACCGTAGATGAACATTTTTGGTCACCTGCAGCAAGGCAAAGTACAGCAACACATTGCGCTATGGAAAACAAAGCTTGTTTTGCAATACCGCCAGATTGAGGAGATGGTTTAGCAGTTGAAAGAAGAGATTCCAGCAGAACATCAAAACTCGTGTTTGCAGAGTAAACCAGAGTAGCAAAAAAGTTTTGCAGAGCCTGCAGTTTAAAAGCAGTAGATTTGAAATGAAGCAAACCATTCTCTGATGAGAAGTAAAGTTCCATAAGACTGAGGTAGTACCAAGAGGGCCTGTCCTTGAAGCAATGAACTTTTGACTAAAGCCAGAGCCTGGGGAAGAACTTTATTTCTGACAGTCAAACCTACACTTGGACCAGACCTCCTGTCTGACATCAAGGTACAGCAGAGTTCCAGCGCAAGCGCCGTCATATGCAAGTCTGAATCACTGTAAGTCGGAACCGTTAACGCATATTAATGTTTGATTCTCTAAGAAACCAGGTACATCATTAAGAGCCAGAACTAGTAGACACCATAATCGGAGAAACAAAATGACATTCAATAAAGACATGAAATGATTCTAAAAAGGTCGAGTGTGAAACCTGATCAAAGTTGAAAGTTCCACAATGATAACTTCATAAGCAGCAGAACCAATTTTATCACCATAGGCAACAATTAGTGTATTTAAAGTACCCAGTGTCGCCTGTCTTAATGCTCGATTAGCCTATTTTTTCCAAAAGAAGATCAACCATGATTCAAGTTTTGCTCCAAATTTCAATATACCATGAGCAATTTCCTTGAACTACAATACTTAAAGATTTGTGATGCTTATACCTTCCGCAGGAATGCAGTTAATTCCACAATAACATGCTCTAGAACACAAGAAAGATCTAGGTGCAGTGGAGATGCAGCTATGACTGCAAAAGCCTGAAAATCAATTCAAGGATCAGAGAGAAGTATATGTAGCTGCCTACTATATATCTAATACAAATAAAAATCTCCTAACCTATTATATAAAGAGATATACAATTGAACACTTGAAAAAAAAATCCAGATCTTTGTCAAGAAGAACATAGCAGAAAAAGAACTAACAACTTTTACAAGAGGATAACTATGAATAATGCTTGCTATCAAAGAGGGGAACAAAGAGAGAAAGAGAAAGAGGTTTGTCGTATTTGAATAACAAAGATTCACATCCATCTATTGAATTTTCATTCAATCTCTTCTCTGTACCATTTAGGTTTACTAGAAAAATTGAGTATACAGTACTAAAAGTATTCATTTACACCTACAAACATGTACACATATGGACTGGAACTAACATTCTACAAACATGAGAACTCTAGTAACATTTTTTTCTAATTTATCGTCAGCAATGATGCATTCTAGTCGACTTTAACTTAAAGATCAAATTCACTTCACATGTATAGCTTTTGATAGATAAATGGAAGGCCATTAGAAAGTAATGCTAATCTCAAAATGTCAAAAAATTCAATGGGATGAACATGTGGGAATATTGTGACCCCTCATTTATACGATAGTTAATACCAACAACTAAATTTTACTCCAGTATTCTATTAAGAGCTTCAAACGGTAAAGTTAATTCAAGTAGCAGCAAGTTGAGCTTGAGTGATGTCTAATTTACTGAGTCAGTGGTGACTATTCAAGTATCAGGCTGCAAAGCGAACTCAGATCCATGTAAACATGTAAGCCCCCTCGAGTGGAATCAGATGCTACAAGAATATACAAGTTCCAAGTGGAACGTGATTGAGTATTTGGTATTAGCACTGGGCTAGGCAGTTAGATAGCATGAAACCGGATGGAACTTGGTATGTAGATAAAAAGAGCCACGGTTGTTATAATATAGACTCTCCACGTCGACCGACAGTCATAAAGCATGGAGGATAAATGAAGGCCCACTTGTGGTAAAACCGTTATCAACACACCAGTCATACCCTATGCTGTTAATTTCGGCACCATAGCGGATTGCGGACCAAGGTAGAATTGCGGTGGTTAAATTGCGGTAAAATTGTGTTTCCGATATTAGCAGCGCAATTGACCAATATTTAGGTGAAATTGCGGACAGATATTCCGATATTTTAGCTTGGGCCTCTTTAGAACTATGTTGTTGTTACTTTTTTTGGGCTTTTATTTTGAGTTTTTGACTTGGGCTTCTAATTAGATTTGGGCCCTTGTCAACATACGGTTTATAAACTTACATTAAAAGGTTACGTTTTCAATTTATTTCCAATATTGTATCCTTCCGTACTGAGTCCGATGCCTACAACAGTCAACCAAGAAAAGTTTGACCTTCTTCTGTTCTCCACTGAGTCGACAACAGCTTCTGCTCCACTCCACCTTCTTCTTCTTCATCGACCCTCAACAGCTTCTGCTCCAGTCCACCTTCTTCATCGTCGATCCTCAAGTCCTCAACAGCTTCTGCTCCAGCATACATATGTATAATACTAAGAGATATTATATGAACTGCTATTTTTGGACCACAATGCCACCGCACTAACCGCTATTTCAAATATCGGTCCTGACCACAATTTTGTATTTTCACCGCTATAACAGCATAGGTCATACCTTATACAAAATGCCAAGATCAATAATAAAATATTGATGGTGGGAATCTTGATACTCCAGCTTTACTATCATATCCATTACATAATAGCAATGATATTTCTCAAGAACTATTCTTTCCTTACAATAGTGACAGACCTCTTAGCTTGTTGCAGGCAAATAGAACAGCAACCAATAATGGGCAACAGCGAATAAAATGTGATATAATACAAGATGCAACACTGAAACTAAAGACCTCGGCTAGAATTAAAACATCAGCATTATAACAAGAAAACCTTAATAAAGGCATCTAAACAAACCTTTACAGCAGTAAGTCGGGTTATCTCATTTCCCATTCGGTCCACCAGAACAGGAAGGCATGCAGGTAAATCTGCTGTGAGGTGATCGCCAAATGTAGAAACAAGAAGCCCCATACAAGAAATAGCACATTCCTTAACCTCCTGGAAAAGGAGACAGTTAGGCAAAGCACACCATCCCATCGGAAGTTCACAAAAGAAGTACTAACCTGGTCTTGATCTTGGTTTGTCAAACGTGACATGATGGCATTATATATTGGATGGACATAAGGTTTGAAATCAAAATCAGAAACCTGAAGAAATCCAAAATAAACTCGGGTTATAAAAATTAAGAAATAGAAGTGTAAAGAATAGAAAAGGGTTAAAACCTTGATGTTTGGGCGCACAACTCGAACAAGTTCCCCACATACTCTCAGTGCCTCAGCAGTAACTTTGTAATAACGTTCACCGACAGCAGATAATACCGGAGCAGAAATAGCCTAAAAAAAGAAAATCTAAATCAATCTACATGTGTATTACATGAGATGAAAACCGCCATAAACATGGAAATTTACAGACCTTATTTTGTTAAGAGCAATAACCTAAACAAGAAAGTGTGGTCATCCAACGTTTTCCTTGGTTAAGGCTTATTCAACAAGAGATGCTCTTCAAGGCTTTATTTGGACAAACTAACCTGAATACTTGTTCAAAGTCATAAGGCCACTAAATAATAAACTGAATCACATTCCTTCCTCAAATTCACAAACTACCCACAGTATGTCGGTATTTGAACAAACAAAGATATTTAGGTATTCAGTAAAGTTATCAAACAAGTTTGCAATTAAACACCCAGAGTCAATTGGCAAAATTAGCATTGAGCACTGTGCTTAATAATACACAGGCCTTTCCATGCATCTCCGAAATCTCTTAAGCATTAAGCTGTAATCACTGATACTGGTTGGATCACCTAATGATCAACACATGCACGCTAGCTCGCCTCGTGAACGAAGAATTTCATCTTTTGAAAGTAAATCCATCAGCATAATTTAAAAAATCACAAAAGAATTCCTCTGGCTGGGAGGTAACATCAATTAATTTTCTACTCTTCAGTCGTAACCAGTACCAATGAAAGACACAAGAACAGGACTTTAAGAGGGGGGGTCACAAAAGCATTCAATTTATCCCCATTTCTCATTGGCTGATCCCAGATGCTTTCTTACAAAACAATTTCAGCCCCTACACTTGAATATCAATGGCTTACGCACTCTTATCAACCCCAACATTGAGTAACCAAAATATAATGTGTGTTTTAAAGTAATTTAGGGGTAAATTTTGTAACTGTAGTACCATGAACCCAACTAGAGAAACATAGCAACAAAACAGTAACATTAGAATCTAGAAATCCTGGAGTAGAAACCAATAAATAGTGGTTCCCTTCCTATTGGCACACAGAAAGGAGGACAGTTTAGGAGTTGTGCCTTTCAGAATTGGCATCACTTTCACATGCATTGAATGCAAAGCATTATTGCTCTCTAGGTAATGAGATGAGAAAATTAATAACATTGTGATAAAGTGCCTTTTTAAGAGATAATGGAACATAATTATCCCTCCCATAATAACGATCTCTAAAACTAGTCATTGTCAAGTTGGCAATTGCACTAAGATGCCTGAACTAGTTGACCACATGGTCCGAAACTGTCCATCACTATATACATGTCTTTACATATCATTTAGCAATTCCCTACATCTGAAATGTGTTGTTTGTGTAATTTCACCTGCATTGCCTTTATCATCATATTATGTCAAGTAAGATCTATGAATAGAACTTAATAGTCATATTCAATGAAGAATCAATCAACATTGTCATCTTAATGCACAAAGGGTAAAAGTTGAAATAAATTTTTTTAAGGTCAATGGGATCTCTTTCAAACTGCACACCAAGTCAACAGTAAGACAATATGAAACATAGAAAACATTAAAGACATAAAAAAACATGTGATTTCACTTCCAGTACTCCATAATAGTCTACATGGAGCAAAAACTTATGCGAATACTCATCAATATAACCTATAATTACGATATCACTAATCTTCAAAATTTCCATACAAAAAACAAATACAATCCTAACAACTAATCTTATAAACAAAAATTCACATTGAATTCGTAGCTTCAGGTCCGTTGAATATATATCCAGAAAACCAAAATTATTTCTGCAGCACTACCTTAATGTATGGGTGGAAAACAGCTGGTGAATGAGAAGCTAAAACTAATCTCGTAAAGATAAGAGCCTCGATCTTCAGATTTGAGGTTGAGGATTTTTCCTGGAGAAAGGATACACTGAATTATAAAATAGAGATGAATTATCAAACCGATATGCAGAAAGATTACAGTTTTCTGGAGACATAAAATTGCAAGATTTCCCTTACACAAAGTGCTTTCTCTATTCCAGGAATGAGTGATCCAATGTGGTCGGCAAGGCAGTCAGGCAAAACAACAACAAGTTCTTTTAGAACCGAGAAGGCACCAATCTGAAGATGAAGCATTATATGAAGAAAATAAAGACTAAATGTTTACAACATGAACTTTCAGAAACAATGGAAGCATACTAGTTATTGAAAAAACACTGCACTTTCAATAAAAAATACCTTTGTCTTGATAGACTTTTCACGCAGCTGTCTATTAATAGATTTAACAACCTTGGGTACTTCTTGCTTCAATGACCATCTGGGGCTACAAGATATGGAAGTAACTTGGATCACAAACTAAAATTAGCTCTAAAAACATATCAGCTGAAAGGTCAACTCTTCCTGAAGCCGGATGGTTCCACACATGCATATGATATTCAACTTAAAATAACCTCTAGTCCAGAAAAATATTCACAATAACCTTCAGGTTTTATCACGACATCAAATCTATAAAAAAAACATCATGCTTGAGTCATGCATGAAATACACTTTACTATTATTAACTACCAAAAATACACTTTCTGAAGTTCAGGATTTTACAGAATATAAAAAAAAGAGCATTAGAACAAGAAAAAAAGAAGAAAATTTTGTTCCTTCTGGATCCCTATTACATACATCATAAAACTCACTTAGGGTCTCCAACATATTTGTAATGCTCGTCTTAAGCTCAATGATCAACTACATGGAGTTCTCAACAACATATCACATATAAAGCCTGGAATGTTTGTCTACTTTATTCAGAAAGGTTAGTAATTTCTGGGACCGCCTGGTGAGAGATGCCCTTCTTCCCCAAGTGGCAGCTCACAAAACATTAAAGAAGGTTCCCAAAAAAACAATCAGTTTGCTTTGGCAGGAATCATATGAATCTATAAGAGTATAAGACAGGGGTATAGATAAGAAGCAGAGTGTTGCGCCTATACAGACTTACCTTAATTTATCAATGTCAATCTGCCCCTTTGTGACATTTCCTGTTTGACGCAGCAACTCAATGAAAGTGTTAAAAACATCCATCTGCAGCATTGCAAAATACACTATCAATGATACAGTCACTTCATGTTAAACAATGCAAATAAGTTTATCCTGTACCTTGACATTTTCTTCCCTCTCTTTAAACCTGTCAATCAACTTTGGACAAGCCTGCATGACATGCACCCGAAACATAAATCATTTGTATATGCATAGTGTCATTATAACTTCCTTTTAAACCCTTATGTCAACACCTATAGCTTCATGGCTATTGTCCTTCAACACTTGTCAAAATTGTCAGCATAAAAGTGGCCAACAAGCGAATGCCCTTTCCCACATGAGTGAGAACAATAACTGTATGTTTTATCTGAGCACAAAGGACCAATAAAATCTAAGCCTTAGAGATGAACTTTTAAGTCATTTACACCAACTAAATCCTCTCCATCCTCAGTCCCATTTCACGGGTATTCTTTCCCTTCCATACATCACAACAATTCAACCTTGTCCATCTACACTGCTACAAACACTGAACTCTCTTGCACTCTCACAATAGAATCTGTGTGGGAATGGTGTTCAAACTGATGGAAGAATTTATAAAGGGCGTCAAAATGTGTGTTGTGCCCGAACAGATATCCAACTTATAAGTAAATCTCAAAAGGAATCATAATACCTTTTCGTTGGTCACATGGTGATGAGAGGTATATGTATCATCGGGATGGAGTAAAGAACTAGTGGATCGAAGATGATTATGGTGTTCTCATGCAGTTAATGTTTTTTAAGGATAGACGACAGTGAAAATGGTGGCTGAAAACAGAAAAAGGAGATCATTTACGTATTTTAAGTACAACTTTTGTTGAAGTGCAGTTAGGATTCTTCACTAAATAGGTGAACTAGGTTGAGTGCAAGGTGAGTTTGGTTATATTAACCTGCATCTGATTATGCTTGTTGGTAGTGAAGCTTGAAGGTAGGTAGTAGCCTGTAATTTCATTGGGTTGAGAGAAATAACATGTAATTTCGAAAAATAACATTGTGTACCCAAATTGATGAGGATCATAACATTAAATGAAGAAGAAATTACGTAAGAATATATATTACGATATTGTTGATATTTTTGGATAACCATTAGGATAATTTTAGTATTTTTATCATTATTATTTGTATTTATTATCTTATGGATAAATAGTGTTAGGACAAAGATTCACTTTTATTATGCACGGAGATGTAATCCTCATGATTGATGGTTAGATAGTTGATAAAAACAAGCTGAGAGTTTTTTCCTTGATTGTGTGAAATAACCATCCTTAAGTGGGATGCCTTTGGTTATCTCGATTCTTGAGTGTGATGCTCAAAAGACCCTATATTTCTACAGTGTGAAACGGTAGAAATAAAAACCTAACTAGCCAAATAAGTGAGCATGTATCAGCAGTCATTATATAACTAAACCCTAATCTGACATCATCAACTCCTATATCGAAAACTTAATCTGCAACCATAATCAAGTCAAACCCTAAGTCGCAGCCATGACCAGAAAACAGCCGCTGTTAATTAGCAAAGGTCTGGCGGCCAATTTGTAATTTTTCTGGAGCTCAGAAACTGACATGCAAGTTTGGAAATTTCAGGGGTTGTTCTGTAATTTCTAAAAGTTCAAGGACCATTATGTAATTCCAAAATTTTCAGAGTACGTTCTAGAACTCTTGAAAGTACAGAATTTTCAGAGTATGTTCAGAACTCTTGAAAGTTCAGGGTCTTTTTTGCAATATCCGAAAGTTTCGAAGATTTTCTATATGCCAATTTAGACGAAGGTTGATATTTTCGTACCTAAGCTTCTTCACCAGGGCTATCAAGGTCTTGCAAACTTGCCATTGACAACGAGTGTGAACTCGATATAGGGTCTCATTTTCTTGTTAAAAGCTCAAATATCATGCGTCAGCCAGTTGCATGTCCTTCCACGATCCCTTGCTAAATAACACATGGACCATGGTTACACATCAACTTGTAGTTCCAATCACAACCGGTGATGACATCAATAATGTTTGTTGTGAGGTCTTACTAGGAATGTCATGGATGTATCGTCTTGATTGCAAGCATAACAAAAGAAAACTCTTGAAGCTTTAACTGTGAAAAATAGAGAATGATTGTGTTTCCCACAAAACCAAAGAGGCATGTTGCTAACTATCACTCAAGGACCAAGTTGAGAAACACAAAAGCTAGATCCTAGTATCCTACAACCTGCAAATTAAAATTGCTGGTCAATGTTGAGGTACCAAGAGCAAGAAGCTGTTATTGGGTACATGATAGAAAAGCCAATTATAGAAGATGATGTGATCATATCCATTATTGAAGTTGCCAAGCATGAGAATATCGTAGGAGGCTCAACTGAAGCAAATGAAGAAATCATAATTGAAGCTTCACTCAACTCAAGCATAAGAACAGTGTTGCCAATTTTGTTTCCAAGGACGTTAAGCATATTGCTTTTGTTATCCAACAATTACTTATACCACATGTTGACACAAGATTAGTCTATTGTCTCTGCTCCATCCACGAAGCTTCAAGATACAGCATCAAGCATACATGACAGCAAGAAGACTGTTGCAGAGCTTGTTTCTAATTCTTCTACACTTTAGCATCCAAAGCTGTTTTTTTCTTGATTGAGATTAAATATTAGGATCATAAAATTGTATCAAGAAGGTAATGCTCAAGAGCTGGTTTTGGTATGAAACCCTAGAAAACCAGTTCCTCGCATCCCTGAATGTTTTTCCTAATCCAAAATTTGTCTTGCATCACAAATAGCCTACACAAACATAATCCAACCAACAAACAACAAACGACAAACAATTTGATGAAGATTCAAATTGATTTGAGAATGAAATATGAAATTAGGGAAGGAATTGCTTGATTGAATCGAACTAATGAAAGGAATGACAAAGAACAACCAGGGAATCTCCCTCTCTCAAAGCAAAATTGCCAAGAGCCATTACAATGGAAAGAAATTTCTTGACAGACCACAAACACTTTCTCTCCTCCCTTTGTATTTCTCTCTCTCTCTCTCTCTCTCTCTCTCTCTCTCCCCTCTAACCGCTTTTATTTAGCCACTTTCCTGATTTGCCCCTTTTATTCTTCTGGAATAAACTTTTAGCACTTTTGGTTTAAGCATATTTTGGACAAGCAATTTTGAATTCGTATCATTACTCCCGCCATCCAAAAAGGTCTTGTCCTCAAGACTTGCCTCTGGAAATTGGCTCTGAATTGTTAAAGCATCTTCCCAAGTGGCCTCTTCACTCAGACTCCCTTCCCATTGAACCAACCATTGTTGCACCTGCTCATTATGATTATTAACCATTGACTGGAAATACTATAAATAAGTCTCCAAACAACGATTAATAACTTTTGTTCGGCCATCCAACTCAGGATGAGAAGCCGAACTCATATGTAGTTGAGTTCCTTGAGAACGAAATATCTCTTGCCAAAAATGACTAAGGAATAAAGGATCTCTGCCACTAACAATAGATTTTGGAATTCCATGGTGGCGAATCACCTCACGGACAAAAATTTCAGCCACCGATTTAGCTGTATATGAATGTTTAAGCAAAATGAAGTGACTATACTTAGAAAGTCTGTCCACCACCACTAATATGACGTCAAACCCTTTCGATTTTGGTAAGCCCAGGATGAATTCCATAGAAAAATGTTCCCAAATGGCATCAGGAATATCTAATGGTTGTAAGAGACCCCCGGGAGCAACCGAACTAGCTTTGCAATGTTGGCACATGTCACAAGCTTTAACCAACTGTTTGACCGTAGCAATCATACCCGACCAATATAAATTAACTGCCAATCGCGACGATAAGTCCGATAGTACCTCGAATGACCTCTCGAAGCGGACTGATGAAACTCCTTCAGCAATACCGGAATAAATTTTGAGTTTTTCGGAATATCGATTCTTATAATAAAGAACACCGTGACGAACAACATAACTGGGGTGAAGAGCTTGATCATACAAACATTCCTTAGTAAACTTTTGGATTTCCGCATCAAAATGAATTTCCTCTAAGAGTTGGGCCCCCTGAAGCCAAATTGGTTCCGAAATGGCTGTTGTGAATTCTCCATCTTCGGCCCGACAAGATAAAGCATCAGCTGCCCGATTCTCGCGTCTGGGTTTATAGCAAATGTCAAAGTTGTACCCCAATAATTTCGCCGCCCAATTTTGTTTATCCGGTGTAGTAATACGTTGTAACAAGAATTTAGGCTCTTTTTTTTTATTAACCTGGATATCCAACCCGCTATGCGAGCCAACTAATCCCAGGGCGACCACCTGCTTTGCAGATAGCCCGGAGTCACCGCATTTGAACCTCCGTGGCCACAAGGGGATTTTTATTCTTCCTTGGATTTGAACCTAGGACCTCCTGGTACTTTTGACCTTTGGAGCCAAGCTCAAACCAATCAGGCACCACCTTTATGGTTAAAATTTAGGCTTTTCTGGTCGGTGTAAACGATAAATCTAGTGCCCAACAAATAAGAACGCCAATATTGTACCGAGAGCACCAACGCCATGATTTCTCTCTCATATGCCGATTTTGCCAAGTTTCGCTCACCAAGAGCTTTACTAAAATACGCAATTGGACGGTTTTGTTGCATCAAAACAGCCCCAATGCCACAACCGGATGCATCACATTCGACCACAAAAAGAATTTGAAAATCCGGTAATGTTAAGAGAGGAGCGGTAACCATGGCTTCTTTCAAAACTTCAAAAGCATGTTGAGCTTCAGAATTCCAATGAAAAGCATCTTTTTTCGTCAAGTCCGTAAGTGGTTTGGCGATACTCCCATAATTCCTGATGAACTTTCGATAATATCCGGAACCTTTAATCTGTTTCGGAACTAGCCACGCCAAAACAGCCTCGTTTTTCTTGGGATCCATGGCTACCCCATTACCGTTAATAATATGGCCCAAGTAACCAACAGAAACTTGGCCAAATTAACACTTTTTGCGGTTAACAACAAAATGGATTTTCAAAAGGACATCCAAAGCACTCTCCAAATCCTTCACATGTTTAGTCCAAGGAATATAAATCAATATATCATCAAAGAAAACCACCACATTTTTGCATAGAGAAGAGCAAAACACATCATTCATCACCGCCTGAAAGGTCGCCGGAGCATTAGTAAGGCCAAAAGGCATTACCAAATACCCATAATGTCCGTCATGCGTTTGAAACGCAGTTTTCTCAATGCTATCCGGTTGCATTCTAATTTGATTATAGCCGGACTTAAATCCAATTTAGAGAAAAAACGAGCACCGTGTAACTCATCAATGAGTTCCTCTGCCATTGGAATCGAAAATTTATCCGGTATTGTGACCTTATTAAGGGCTCTATAATCCATGCACATACGTCATATCTGATCTTTCTTTCTTACCAATATCACGGGACTAGAGAAAGCACTTTTACTTGGTCGAATCATACCAAGAGAAAGGAGTTCCCGAACTTGCTTTTCAATCTCTGTTTTTTGAATGTGACGATAACGATACGGGCGAACGCAAATTGGTTCATGTGAAGCAATCAATGAAATAGCATGATCATGAGGACAAGAAGGTGGCAACCACGATGGGTCACAAAAAACATCTGAAAATCAGTCAAACAGAAATTGTAAATTCTTGGTCTTGGCGCGTGGTGAGAACCAACTCCTTATTTGTTTCAACGGGCAACAAGGAAGAACAAAAGAGAAGAGGGTTATCAGCTATGGATAACCAACTGAGAAAAGATGCTTGAGAGCTTTGAGATTTGTCCAACCCGCGAAGATGAACAGAAACTCCGTGAAATACAAACAGCATAGAAGATTTGTCCCAATTGTGAACGACATCACCAAGTGTTTTGAGCCACTCCATGCCTAATACCATATCCAAATGTCCTATATCAAATACCAAAGCATCCACCAAAAATTTGTAGCCACCAGCTAACACCCTTAAATTAACACAGTGTTGACTAATAAAGACTTTATGACCATCTCCAAGCAGAATATTTAATGCCACTGAAAAAAGTCGAAGATATGCCCAAAGAGGTAACCAATTTTCGTGAAATAAAATTATGAGTAGCCCCGCTATCTACCAAAATTACCACAGGAATATCCAATATAGCCCCTTCAACGTCTTCCCCCCCCCCCCCCGAAGACGAATCTGATGTGGCTCCAAGGAACTCCAAAGCCATACAAAGACCTGTAGGAGTGGTTTCTTCATCAAGAACATCCTGCTCAACGGTTGTATCCATATAACAATTTTTGCCCATATCTTCCCCAGAATCATCATCTCCAACAAGATCCGAAGCTTTCCTTCGGGACACTTATGCGCAAGTCCAAATTGTTGACCACAACGTAAGCACAGCCCTTTTTTCCAACGTTCCTCCCATTCAGTGCGTGTGAGAAAACGGATTCTACGGTCGAGATTAAGAAGTGGCGCAAATTCTTGGGAAGTTGCCCCTGTAGTACGTGTGAAAGGCAAGGAGCGACTGGAATCTCCCCGAAACAGGGGAGACTTATCACCGGGTTTAGGTATTATGGGCCCCTTCTGATCCATTTGGCCCAACAAAAGAGGCCGCCGATCATTCTGAAAAACACCCCCAGGCCCACCTCCGTGCTGATAGCGAAATCTAGACTAGGAGAGGTTAACCGAAGAAGGACGAAGCATTGCTTCTATGTCTTTGGCCAAGTACGTGGCGTCTAAGAGAGATGAAGGTCGATGGAGACGAACCAAACATTTGACGTCATCCCTTAATCCAGCAGTAAGATATCCTAAAGCTTGCGAATAAGGTAATTTAGGGACTAGGGATAACAAATATTCAAAGTCATCGATCTAATCATAGATGGAATTCGATTGTTTAATTGTAGCAAGCTGTTCAAATGGATTTTGTATTTCCAGACCATTAAAACGCTGGAGCAATTCGCATTGCAACTGTTCCCACGTAAGAGAATCGTAAATTTGTTTAACAATGGTGAACCAATCTTGTGCTACACCCATCATACTCAATTGTGCTACGAATACGAAAGGTAGGCGTACCATTAATGTTGAAATACAGGCTTGCCTTCTGGATCCACCCTTAAGGGTTGAATCCATAAAACTCAGGGAGTTTGATCTTCTTCATAGCCCAGGGCAAGGATTCAAATGAACATGCATTTGAAGGCGGCAGTAGTTCACTACTACCAGACGGGTTGAAATTCGCAGCAGACGGAGTGACCAGAATTGGAGACGCACCAATAATACCCGATTGTGCACCGAGGTCAGAACTAGGAGATTTGCCCTGTTGTTTCATCCAGGCTAAAACCACCTTACGAAACTCAGCAGACTCCTCACAATCGGTATTCAGAGCCTTCACTGCAGCTTTAATTCCACCACATCAGCTTGTAATCGCTAGATTTGCTCTTCATGTTGCTCCAATCGGTTTTGTTGAGAACGTGTTTCCATTGTCGGTTGAACCAGCAGAACAGCAGCAGGTCAAGGTTGGTCGGACCAATGATGAAGATTCAAATTGATTTGAGAATGAAATACGAAATTTGGGAAAGAATTGCGTGATTGAATCAAACTAGTGAAAGAAATGTCTCTGTCTCTCAGAGCAAAATTGCTAAGAGACATTACAATGGAAAGAAATTTCTCGACAGACCACAAACGCCTTCTCTCCTTTTTTTTATTTCTCTCTCTCTCCTCTAACCGCTTTTATTTAGCCACTTTCCTGATTTGCCCCTTTTATTCTTCTAGAATAAACTTTTAGCACTTTTGGTTTAGGCATATTTTGGACAAGCAATTATGAATTCGTATCACAATTCTGCGTGGTGTCAAAAACAACCTTAACATAATACTTCTTCTGATTCATCTAAACAACAAATCAAAAAACCAGATCAAGGATGATCACAACAATTTGTTAATCAACTCTATGCTTCCAAAACTACCACTCCCTAACCACCAAATTTCGAACATGCTCGGCAATTATGACTTCCAATATTATTCGTCATACTGTTAAGAGATCCCCAAACACTGAATTTTTCTCCTCGCATAAGGTGAAACATTCATATCAAACCTCGTCAATATCACTCATAGCATTAGGGTGTATGGGTAACAGGAAACCACATTCAAATGCCAGAAGTTCAGATGTATAATATGCATAAAAAAGGATATGAAGAGTTGATATGGAAATCATCCTTTTTCTAAGTAACAAAAAACATTACGAAATAGTTGTTTTTGTCATTGGTTGTTAGCGGCTAAGCACTACAAATGCTATATACCTTTGCAATAATGCTTTCAACTAATAAACTTCTGTGAAGTACTAAATACTCTTTCCATAAGTACAAGCAGTATTACCTCATCATATAGATTTGACAGCATCTCGGGACGAGAAACAATTAGTGCTGCCAGGCACTTTGCAGCAGCTCTTCGAACTTTCCAGCTGACATCCTCATCATCTGTATATTCATTGGCACTATCACTGCAGGCCAACCAACCAAGCACAACACATTAGATTAAAATGAAAGCCTACATCGTACCATTCTGAAAGTAAAGACTACTAGAAAACATACTCATCGTCATCCTCATCATGGATTTCATCATCAGTGTCCTCTTCCATGTTATCAGTGAAATTGGGATCATAACTAAGATATTCCAAAGTAAGTTGTAGAATCTCATTACAGTAAGAGAAAATGTCCCTGGGGCATCTAAGTAGAAAACTTTCCAGAGCCTGAAGCACAAAGTTTCCATTAGGAACATAAAGCAGTCAATCACATTTGAAGTTTACAAATAAAATTAGCCAAATTTCTCTAAGTCCAACAAATGATAGCACAACAACGAAAAAGGAAAAAAAACAACAAAAGAGCATTGCCAAAGCTGATACCTGTAAGCTATATTCACGAAGCTCCTCATCATTCTCTGATGCATTCATGCAATATTGAATTAGAATTGGAACCGTATCTCCAAGATGTGGACCAAACCGATAACCCACGGCACGGCTGCATAGGAAAATTTCATGATTGGTCAATATTGTTACGCAAATAATAGCAATAAATGAAGTAAGGAGTGTCCTTCGAGCAAAACAGTAGCATCAGAAACATAAAATATTGCAACTTCAGGGATAGTTTGATTAATACTGGCAGAGAGGTATTATAGTCAAAAGAAACATAAAAGAATATGTTAAAGTTTCAGTTTGAAACTCACCACCTTCGGTAATTATTGGTGCTAAAACTTTCATGAAACCATTTGAATAAGTAATTATCCTTTTAGACAGAGTATCAAATGCTCAGCTTATTCTCTCTCTCTAAATGCACATTTTGCTTTTACTAGAAAGGTCACTAAAATTAAGGAAGAAGACATTGAGAAAGAAGTGAACGCCAATCAAAAGAGTACACATTCAATGAACATTGCACAAAAAGTCATCCACTGCTAACGAAAAAGGATCTTCATGTTACTTCATCATACAATGTCAGCAAGGCTCTTGATTTTACTTCAACATGTAGACATTTTGTCAGAGATACTTGAGACTAGTTACTGCCACCGGTCTAAGCTAAGCATTTGTATAGTAAACCCATCATTCAAATGGAGTACAAAAAGAAACGCATGAATAAAGGATGTAGATATAAGGGTTAGCAGATTCCTCCTCAAGCACCAATTATCCTAGGACGGTCTATGCATGGCATTTCACGCTTTCAGAGAGCATAAGTATTGATAAAATTACAGACATCATATAGCAAATAACTGATAATAGAACAATGCGAGACAAAAAGAAGCAATCAATTTTTAACCATAAAAAGGGAAGGCATATACACAGACAAACCTCAAAGCCCCAATCATCTGAATGTTTGTACGAGTCATTTCAGGTTTAGTTCCCTTGTTTTGTAAAAGCCGAACAACTGCAATTGTAGCCTTTGCTAACAAGTCATCTGACAGGCTTGAAGCCAGAGAAGCTGTAATGCAAGGAGATTTAGTTAATATCTGTAAATTGTCATGTTCCTATAGCCAAACACTTATACAGCAAAAAGTAAATGATCATTCTAAGTACAAGCTAACTTTACTTACCAATACAAGATACAGTCTTCTTTCTAACACTGGCTTGATTGGAACTTAATTGAGGCAATAGCGCACCTAACAGCACTTCATGATCTGATGTCATCAGATTTCCAAATTTATGCAGGATGTCACTTAAGATATCAAGGCATTCACACTTTATGTCTGTCTTCATTGCCTGGGAAACCAAGAGCATATGTATATCATGAAACGAGCTCGAACATTACAACCCCATGTTGCGTAATACATTTGTACTACGTATCGTGTAGAAGAAAGGGAAGGAGGATTATCCCACCCATAATAGTACAAAATGCATTGCAAGCTTACCTTTCTCACATGCGAGTTATTAATTGTTAACAAGACACTTGAAGCAAAAGGTGGACATGACAAGGAAAACATATCAATGTCAAGGCAAAAGTAAAAAACACTTAAAAGTTAACATAACATCAAGACTACTGAATCATGACTATAGCAATACACAAAAATCTTTTGGAGCAACATATGGAGCTATGCAGAAAATCAAAATTGATGTACTCAAAAATTAGCATTCGTTATAATAATTTCTCAAACTGCCAGCTCAATTGCTTGTGTGATATGATATTATATTATAAGCACACCTATATAAAGCCTAACTCAATATGCCCTTCGCAGACAAAGAGTTTTTCATCTACCTACTGAGTTGTAGGATAGAAATGAGTTCCTAAACAATGGTAACCTGACAAAATATCAAACTGAACTCAGCTTATTGGTACATACAATGTAGTCTCCTCAATATAGAGTGCCAATTCAGTCATGTACCTATGATCTTTTCCAAACACAGACGTGCCAATGATAATAAATTAGAAAAGATGTTTGAAGGCAGATAATGAACATATACATCTTACTAACTAGATTACCCAACTACTGCATGTCAGATTTTAAGTATTAGTTGGAAATGTAAAAATTAAGGTAACTCACAGGATTTGTTATTCCTCCTATCAACTTTGGAGAAACTGAAATGAGAACAGATTGTGCAACTGACGAGGTAGGGACTTCAGAAAAAATTGTCTTCAGGGCTATGCTTGCAATGTCACGATGCTGATCTTTCCCATTCAGCAATTTATCACATAGCTTATCAGTCATTTCCAGTACCTGTGCCTCGTGTATTTTCTTCACCAGAGGAGCAAGACTAGAAAAGAAATTATAACATCAATAAGACCAGGAGAAAAGCACTAAATTAAACATCATTGTGTAGCTAAAGAAAGCACTTACAAACAGTGTATGGATCAGTGTGCACAAATAAAATAGGGTGTACTAAGAAGCACAATATGAAACTACACCCGAAACTACAGATAGCTTTTGAGCAAGTTCCTTCATTCGTATACTGAGTTTTCTAAAATCCAGCAAGTTTATCTAGGGAGACAATTACTAGTAGAACTTTGAATGACAAATATGCTGAATGAAGTGACTTCATTAGAAGAACATCAAAAGACATATATGCTTTGAAATGGCTTCTAACAAGGATAGTCCTCTTTGGATGTATATTACTGTAACTTTACATTTCAAAACTGTATGACATCTATTTGCCGGCGTTTCCAAAAGAAAAGATATATTAGAAGCATGAAACTTGTTTTTTTAGTAATGGGGATTTTTTAAGATAGCCAAGCACTTCAAGCAGCAATATGCGGAAACTGAAAGTACATTGAACATGCAACAAACCACAGTTACTCATTAAAAGTAGACCAGCATTACTCCAGAATCCTAGCTAATTGGGACCCAATCAAATAAAGCACATCAGTTCACCAAGACAAAAATACAAGATAGAACAAATTAAATTTTAAAATCCCTATGCATCATTAGTATCAATACTTATCTATTCAAATCAGATTTTGCACATATAATGACATGTTCAATTCAACAATGTCTACTCAATGAAAAACATTCATCAGATTAGAACCTTAGCCAAACTATGGAATGATAAAAAAATAACTGGAGGAAGAGCGGAAGAAGAGTGAATCTGATAAAGAAGAACATAAGAAAGAACCTTATTCATTCTAGCGTTAGTATAACCAGAAAAAAAACACCGCTTTACCCAGGTTATTTGGGGTATAACCAAAAACATATCCAGAAGAATATTACAAAATGGTCAATTTAGTGATGAGCAAAAGACACAGTTGTCTCAGTGATGAGCAAAAGGCACAATTGGCAGATCATGCAAGGTATTCCTACAAAGAGTTGTCCAGTGAGACATTAACAAGATAATTAAGCATGCATGCAGAATTTATGTGAGAGTAGTATAACAGCAACAACCTGGACAAAACAAAGCATCATTCATCGATGCATCAGAACAAAAAGTATTTGTCGATCTTAAATAACTATGGCAGTATGGCTAACACATACAGGCGGACATATTTCCAACTATCGGCATGATCCAACCGATAGAATCATCAACATCGTTGCAAAAAGACTGCATCCATGTATACACACACGAATATGAACATACACACACACACATATGCGTGTGTGCATGCGTGTATGTAAGTATATGTAAGAAGGCATAATCTTCACAAGACAAAGATCTAAGAATTATTGGTCAAGCAAGCAAGTGCACTACGTCAAACAAAAACAAAAAAACATTGTTTTAACCATCTAGGGTTTCATAATAACTACCGAAAAGTAGCAAGGAAACATGACAAACCATTTAACAGCCAATCCAGACACATCGCCAGCTGCATCATCAAGCTGCTGTAGAACAATATTGGACAATCTCAACTCAAGGTCATTGTCAAGTTTAAAGCCCTCTTTGTTTAATTCATTTAACAGATCAGAAGTTGCCATATATCTGTAATCTTTATCCTTCCCTGTCATCTGACATATAAACATGAACCATCAATATGTGCAAAATACGATCTTTGAAAGCATAACATAAAGAAAAACTTGTATCCAAAGGGCTATTGACACCAAAAAAAACAAATAGATGAACACTTCTTACCTTCTCCAGGATACCAGGTATGGATGAATTTGCCATCTTTACACAAGTCTTTCACGATCTTAGATCAAAACAAATATTACTGCATAATGCCACAATGGAAATGTTCAGTTCACGACGAAACTACACCAGTTGAATAAAAAGAAAAGACATGATGGAAAGCCTTCTATAAGAACACCAAAACAGCATCAGATGCATAAATGTATGCAAACACTTCCTTGCATCAAACAACACCACAAGAGAATGCATCTTGGTCTAGTCAATATGTGAAACGCAACCTAAGTGCACCAATGGCTCCTTGGAGTGGCAAAGCTTGGGGAGGGAGTACTTGTATGCAGTAATTTACTTGCATGCTCCAAAAAGGTCGCTTGTGTGACATGAGTGGGTGACTCTTAGGTCAAAAGGGATACCCTTACAAGGTGCTCCATCCAAGGTTTGTTCATATCTAGTAGATCAGAAAATCAAATGTAATACTACTTAAACACCGTCAACAAAATTTATGGGAGTAGCTGGATGTATGTCCGATTCACATGGTCAGCTGTAAGCCTTCGTCGTTCATCATGGCTTGGTATAGCCCATGTAATAAAATAAAAGTGGAGCTTTGATGCTACTCAAGTTGACAAATATTCTGCCTAAGAAAAACACAGGACTTGGCAAAAGTACAATGTTCTCATGGCAAATATTCCAATTCTAGCAATAACACATGCTTTGGAAAATAATCACTCCCTCCTTTAAAAGCGATGCATTATTCTCAGGGATGAAGGTGCAGATCCATATATCAACACATGCTGAGCAGAAATGTTGATAAGGGATGAGAAAATGAAAACTAAAGAACAAAAAACACCGACCTTGGATGCTACTCCTTCTTAGGGCTCCAAAACTCAAATAAACTTGAACTTTTTCCACCTAAGAAACCAGAAATACACTTATATGGATAACATCACTCACCCTTTAGAATTTTACATATATTTCAGTTCCGTATACGTTACCCTCTCAGTCCCAATAAAAAATGCAACATTTCTATAGGAAAAAAATTGTGTTTTACCTATTTGTCTATGTAGTGATCACTACCAAACTAGTTGTGATTCCCCAGCAACAGGATTAATCTTTAGTTTGTATATAACATTTTAATGCAAGAGTAAATTGCAAAGTTGATTAAGATCAATTAAATTTTTACTTTGCATGGAAAACATGGAAAAATGGAAACTTTTATCGGAAGAGGGGGGTATTATATGATGCCTTTCAAGATATATACAATATAATAATAATATTCAATGTCCCCTTCGAAAGAAGATGACAATGGGGATCAATAACAAGCAGTTTTTTTGCAATACAGTGCCATGGTATAAGACAGATCTCATGATGACTACTTAAAACATAAACCACCAGAATCCTTCTTAGCATGAACTCTATTTTGCAGTACAAAATCAACCAGTGCTCAAATTGGCTTCTTAAAAACGTGATAGTCATTTTCATCGCACTACAGTATTTCATCTCATTGCAGCAAGAACCACCACCCTCATTTGATGTACCCTTCTAGTTTATGCTTCTCTAGTTTCAGGTTGATTGCTTTGTGTGCCGGGTAAATGCAAAAAAGTTCACATGAACTCTTAATGGAGCTTTAACATGCCCTAACACCATCTAGATACATACTACTCTGGCGTCTTGGCGAGATATATAACATCCGTACGCCGTGAAATGGAATTCACGTTCAATCAGACAAAAAGCAAGTGGCTCAAGTTTCGATTTCAATTCCACAAACTTTTAGCAATTAATGGATTAAAATTAGTGTTAAACTCACTTACTCGAAAACTTCAAAATGAACGAAGAGGGGAAGAAAGTCAGCAGTCACAGGTCGGAAAAGGCAGCGAGGCGCCAAGCGGTGGCGGAGGCCGGAGTGGCTGCGTTACGGCGTCAGTCAGGCAGTCCGGAGCTGACAGCGGCAGAGGGCAGCAGGAGCGGGCGAGAGGCAGGCAGGCAGGCAGCAGTAGGTTATGTGGAGTGTTGGATTTCGATCGGAGCTACTTTTTCCCAATTATAGCAGATCTTGCAAGTATTACTTCCTACAAAAGAAAAAGTATGAATTTGCCAAAATATTTTTTGATGATAATGAATAAAATAAGAACATAAATATTAATTAAATAATTAAAAATATTTATAAAATGAAAAGTGTTAGAGAAAATATTTTGCTAAGGATGGGGGATTATATTTAGGTGGAAAATACTAAAATTTATGGGTTTTTAAATTAGTATTTCAATTTATAAATTTTTTGATTAGATAATGGTTTTTATTGTAAATCTATTTAAGTAATTATTTACTTCAACCTTAAATATGAATACACCTCTTTTGCATGGAATAATAGTAATTTTTGGTTGTCTTTTTTAAGGTCAATCAATGTATTTTATAAGGTAGAGATTGTGTTGTCACAAGTCAAAACTAGAATTATGAGGGTGGAACTTGTGTTGTTACAGTTAAATGTTGCTCTTGAGAGTTACAATAAAGTTGTTAGGGTTTGTAAAATGAGGTTGAATACAAATATAATTATCTAACTTTTTAGAATTATTTTATTGATTATGGGAGAATTAATACATGAATTTAAATATTGTTTGTGGAATAAGATAAGATACAAACCTAGTCTAAAATAATTTAGCTTTGATTACAGAGAGCACTAAGAATCTCTAGAAAATCAAGCTTTAGAAAGTACACATGCATTCTTGCGTAGAAACACGAAGAGAGAAGAATAGCAAGGAGGGGATGACTTCTTGGACAATACTGAGAAAGGAGCTTCTCAGCTAGTACAATCTTGTCATTGAGCTTGGCAAACTTTGGGTGCTAATAAATAGTGCACCAATAGAGTAGTCATACATGAAAAGGGATAATAAAACATTGTCATACCGTACCTTTTTTGTCACATAGTGTGTGGCTTTTGACATATGCAAGAGTAGATAAAACTTAAGCTTGTTACACAAGATTCATGTTCAGCTAGAAAATGATGTTGAGACTTGATTCAGCTCTAGTTAAGTACTTCTAAATACTCCACATCTTTAAAAAGGATGACTCGCTAAAACTGCTTCAGATCTTCCTGCATTTATCTTAAGTTATGTCTTTGATATAACATGAAGTTTTTATTTGGCATGTGAGGTTTGTCTTTGGAGTTACTGAGTTAGTTACAAATAATAGAATTAGTAAGAAAGCTATTACTGTCACTGAGATAACATTTCAAATATAGTAATCATAAGTTCAAAGTATAGAGTAAATTTTCAGCGATCACTGAATAGACTCAATGGCTTATTGTTATCAGTTACAACTTATTACAAGAATATTGTTGATTTGATGATAATCTTTTTTATCTTTTGAAGCATTAGTGTTTCTGTCTTTTCAATTCTAGCAATCATCACTGACTCTGTTCAGTGATCCCTGAAAAACACGCATTATAAATCCTACAGCGACAACGATACTTCAAGAAGACAAAACTCACACCAAAGAACCTTCAGTGAATGTCGAAGACTGAAACTGAAGATTAATGACTGGCACGTTCGTGATCTGAAGCGGTATTCAGTGATTACAACACGGTCAACATATGTGTGAAAACTGCACAAGCCTCAGTGAATGTTGAAGAGACCTCCAGTATTATTCCAGTATTCAGTGATCAAATGAAGTTTGCTATGCATGATTGTTTTTGTCTTGTCCTTTCACACACAAAGGACAAACTCATACCCTTTCAAGAGTACAGTACTGCACGGAGCCGACTAGTCGACTCTAGTAGGGGTGGCAAAAAATGACCCAACCCATTAACCCAACCCGAACCCAACCCAGAATTAGCAGGTTGGGTTGAGATTTTTAATCCATTTAAATAAATGGGTCAACCCGTCTAACCCATTTAAATAAATGGGTTGGGTTGGGTTAAATTTTTTGACCCGTTTTCAACCCACTTAAAATATTATATAAATTTATTTTATTCTTAATATTATATCTATTTTATTTTTTATTTTGTTTCTTCTTAAGTAAATTGGCCCAAGTTTTATAATGACTCTTTGATTTCAATCCTTCAATAATCAATTCTTCATACGCTTTATTACTAATCAGTATCATGAATCTCGATGCTTTGCCTTTGATTCTTTAATCTTCATACGCTTCGATTATCAATCTTTTCTCCTTCTTTTGAGTTCTACCTTCTTCAATCAAAGATTTGGGTTGGTTTCAGACTTTCAGTTTCCGATTTGAGGTTGAGGGCTTGAGGCGTTGTTGAACGATAACAGAGTAAGTTCTTTATGATCATGTTTGTGTAGTATTTTGTTGTTAAACTTCATATAGATCATATGAATTTTATGCTTCTCTTTGATTATTTGTTACTTTATGACTCTATCGAACTTTGGTGAGTTCTTTCAAGTTTGAATTTGTTATTTGTATGGTGTGGCTATCTGTTTCTATCACTGTACCTATATCTCGAAGAGAATTGTTATTATTCGTCTTCATTGAGATAATTATACAAGCTACATATAAGTTGTTGTTTTGTACGCATGAATTACACTTGCTGATGGACTAATGGTCTTAGGATTTTAGGTATGAGAGTGAAATTGGGGTTGATGAATGTGGAAGTCGAGTTACTTAGAATTTAAAAAAATTTAACTTATTTTGAACAATATATTTGTTGTGGTTGTGTTTTATTCAAACTTTGAACAATTTGGTTGTATTTATGGTTGTGTCATGTTTTATTCAAAAAAGTTAAATGCTCTAGTTCTTTTTTTATTTAAAATTTTAAAATTAAATGGGTCAACTCACGTTCAATCCATTTATTTAACAGGTTGGGTTAAGAAAATCGTAAACAGGTCAATCCGCTGTCAACCCATTAACCCAACAGGTTTGGTAGAGTTGAAAAATCGTAAATGGGTTGGGTTGGGTTGGGTTGATATTTTCAACCTGTTTAATAATGGGTTGAACCCAAACCCAACCCAACCTGACCCATTGCCATCACTAGACTCTAGTGCCCATCAACTCCACGAAATGATATCTGCTCATGAATAGACAAATGTACTATTCACTGTAGCAAAGGACAAGCTTGACGCGTGTTCCAACCCTTATGATTTGCATTTAATGCAATGGGTATAAATAGCCAAGTGCTCTCTTCATGCAAGAGAGATCACACATCTATTTAAAGAACACATACGCTTATCTTCAAGCAAGTTAGAATCCCTCTCAAGAATTCTAAAGTTCTTACCCAAGAAGCACATCCTCCTGTCTTTATCTTTTCGACAAATCTTTTCTATTTGCTAAGTATATTTGTGTGTAATCTTAGATTGTTTTAGATAGGTTATCTTTACCTATTCTATTTCCGCAAACAATCTACAAAAAAATTTGTATTGATCTTTCTTTATCGATATATATTTTTAAATAAGAAAGTTTTTTGTATTTGTATTCATCCATCCCTTCTACAAACTGTTCGTCTAAAACTCTTTTAGACCCGGCTGGGACCAACAAGTGGTATCAAAGCAGTGTTTTCTTCTCGTCTTGTTTAGTTGTTCATCTACATTTTATTATCTTTTCTTCTCAAGATAATTTATTGTTTTTCAAATGGATTTGCAAAACACAACCACAAACTTTCACGATAATGGCTCCCTTGCCCAACCTCCCCAATTTATAAGAGACAACTTTAGTCTCTGGAAAAACCGGATGTCTCTTTTCTTGGAAGGTGTGGATCCTGAGATCCCACATTATATAGAGAATAGACTTTATGTTCCATATGTTATATCTCCGGTTGTTCCTGAAATAGCTACAATTGCCGCGATTCCTGAACAGTAGATTCCTAAGCTCCCTCATCAGTGGAGTGATGAAGACAAGAAGAAGGTGGCTATAGATACTCGAGCGAGATCTATAATAGCCATGTCTCTTCCTGACGAGGTCTATCACTCTGTGATGAAGCTTAGGACCTCGAAATCCATGTGGGACACTCTTTGTGTTCAATATGAAGGTACTTCCCAAGTACAAGT